CTAGGAGTAGAGAACAGCAGGGGAGATGGAAGGGTGAATGAGGCTGGGGGATTCAAGGCGTGGAGGGCTCCACGATAGACTTACCCCGAGAGGCCTGAGGGTAGGAGCAAAGAATGGTTTTTTTATAGACCCACTTCCCAGGTAGTACCCTCCCATAGCCTCCCTCCCCCAACTAGAGCCCTTATACTCTGATATCCCTGCTACTGTCTGCTGTGTTGTCCGCACCCCCAGCCATTCCCCACTACTTGTCCATCTGGAGAATCTAGTCAGCCTATCTAGACATCTTTGTTTTAGGAGGGTCAGATGTTCCTCATCTAGCGGTACTCAGTTGTCAATATTAATTTGGACAAGATTGGGGTCTGCTGTTCAATTTCCCAGTTCTCTGCTGGGTTACTATCTGGGAATCCCTTTGGCCACCCTGGCCCAAAACTCAGAAGTAGGTATCATCTGTCTGGCATTGTTACTTGCTGTGTAGCCTTTAGCTATACATATGGTCTCTTATGAAATTATATTGGTCCCTTTAATCTTTGGTTATACTTTCCTTTTGGGTGTTTAAGGCCATACAGTTGGTCCAGATAAACCAATTTATTTTTACTCTTAAGGTCATTTAAGGATCTGTTCCTCAGGGGTCACATGGGCTTGGGAGGAACTCCTGGCTCCTTTCTTTTTACCATTTCTGCCTATGTGAAGATAAGTCAAAGGTCCTGATCGATCATGGCTGGCTTCACTTGGAAGCATGTGACCCTCCTCTTTATAGACTGGACACTGGTTCATGTCCATCTGGTGGGGTGTCCTTGGCCTCCTTTATCAAGAGGACGGGTGACCAACCACCATTATAGGACATTTTGAGAAATGCTCATAGTCCCCTGGAACTAGTTGACCTAGGAGGGCAAGGAGTAAAAAGTGTCCTTTGGGACCTCTGACCAAATTATTATAGACCTCAAAGAATGTCTGTTAAACACCCAAGAAGATTACTTCCACCAGTCTGGTATTTTTAGTTACTGTGTGTCATGTAGATAAATCTTAAGCAAAGACCAGTTGTTCTCAGATAAACCCTACCTAGACACATATTTCTTGATCTCTTATGTATAATTTCTCAGTAGGTTGTAGGAGTAATATGTTTCTCACTGTTTTTTAAAGCTATCTAGGCATTGTTTATCTCTCACATTGTCGCACCCCTCCATCATGGTTTTCCCTCTTAAAGTGCCCCCATTGCCCCCCTTTCTCCCGTAATAATACCCTTCTCCTATTGTCCTACCTCTCTTGAGCTCCTTCTTTCCCTTTATACACTAGGTTCCTTGTATATCCTTCCTCCCCCCTCCCTTAAACTAACCCACCTTTTATCCATATCTCCCTTATTAAGGCCTGTTTCTTACTGTTCTTCTCTTTCAGGTTATTTCTTTTCCTTTACCTCCCTGTTTCCTTTCCGTCATCCTGGTTTCTGTAGTTATGTCTGGTTGCATACTTATTTATCAGAGTCTGGTTCTAGGATCCACATATGAGGGAGAACATATGTTGATTTTTTTTCTGAGTCTGTGTTACTTCACTTAGTATAACAGCTTCTAGTTCCATCTATTTACCTGCAAATTTCATGATTTCATCTTTACTTACTGCTCAGTAAAACTCCATAGTATAAATGAATCCCGTTTTCATTATCCACTCATCAACTGAGGGACACTTAGATAATTAGTGGATGTGAAACACATTACCATTGAAATCTTCCTGATGACTTTATATCCATGCTCAGATGCCAAGGAGCTCAGAAAGTAACTGACTGTGACTAGTAATAATCAGATATATAGAGATTAGAAATGCATGTGCAAACAACTTAATGTCAATTGCATAAAAATGAATTATTCTGTATGAAACTGTGTATTTTAATAATGAAATGGATATCTTTTTTAAAGGTTAAAACCTCATTTAATTTTACATCTTATATGGTTTATACTGAGTAAAATATTGTATAACTGTAACAATTCAACTGTAAACCTAAAAATTTACAGCCAATTTTGAAAAAGATGCATCTTAGCTGAGAATATTGTTATTGAATATGTCAGTGCTGTTGGAATGAAATGTTTCTTCTAAGCATGTGGTTATTAAATAAATGATAAACTGAAAAAAATGTTTCCTTAAAAAAATAAAATTCAAAATTTTAAAAAAGAAAGAAAATTGTTTGATTTCAGGGTCTCATATTAATCTATTTTTTAACTAGTGGTGCAAGACACCGGAAGTGGGAAGAGTCTACTTTAGTATCTTCAAAAGAGATACTTGGTCACTTATAAATCAGAAGTTAAAAGATCTACAATACTTTCCTCAAACAGAAGACTTTCATGTTAAATGAAGAAATATGGTGGCTAGGAATACATACAACTAAATTATGTAATTAATGTCTTCTAACTTGCCCATTGTACTGGGGCCTAAAAATTTATAGTTAAACAGCAGATCAGAATTACATGTTGCTGCACCAGGGAATGGGCTGCCTTCATGTCAGGCTCAAGAGGCAATTGAATCATAAGCTCACTTCCTCAATAATACTCCCTGGTACCCCAACCAAACATGGATACCTCATTCCATCTTTACTTCCTTCATAGCACATCATAGTTTCTATTATCAAGTGCTTATATCTGTCCTTTGAGTGCTTTGTTTGAGCTCTGTGTAACACAGAAATATTTCTATTTTTATCCAACATTTATCTAATACACCATGAAGTGCCTTGGTCAACACATCTGAGAGTGGATGAAGGAGTGATTAAATCAGTGATCACAGCTTCTTCCAGAGTAGGTAGGCTCCCTGAACAGCGGTTAATAAAAGTAGAAATTAGAAACTACTCTATTGTCTGAAGAGAACAAACAATATTCAAAGGCCCCTTAAACCACATATTTTATAGATCAAGAGAGAACTGGGAACCTCTAGTCACCTAAATGGTCTCAGTGTTTCACACCCACTCTTGATATCCATTCATTCACCAGTGTGTTTTTAAACACTGTAGTGTTGATAACAATAACAGCACGGGAAGCTCTAGGTCCTAATCTGATAATTTGGATTATATAAAATGTGAAGACTGTTAAGAACTTGTTATACTATTAGTGTGAAAATACTGCGATCTAAAATCTATAAATGGAAGCAATGGATGCAATGAAACTTACTTTAGAATAGTCGTCAATGGCCAGTACTCTGTTTGTTCTTTCATACATCTCACCCCTCCTGAAATAGAGGTCAGCATCTGTGGGCCTGCACTTAATTGCCTGGCTGTAATTTAGAATTGCCAGTGTGAAGTCCTTTTTTTCCCTGAAAATTTCTGCCTTTGACACATATACCTCTAAAAACAAAAAAAAATCAAAAGGTAAAATTTAGTTGTATAATCTTTCCATTAACTAAGAATTGAAAGCATTGTTCTCTCTCCAAAAATGTAGTCTTAGAATAGTTTTCACTATTATACTTCCTTAACTATTTCCTTTTTCAAAGTTCAAACAATGCCAAATTTATTCTCAAAGTCTGAATGCTCATTTGTGATTTCAAGTGCTATTACTTTGAACTGACAAAATTATCACTCACCATTGCTTTGTTTAAAATGTTTCATAGTCTTAACGGTCATAGTAAATAGGTTCAGATGGCACAGAATTTTATGAATTTTTAGCAGAGACCAAAATGGATCAAAAACAATAAGTTCCTACCATATTTTTTGGGTATTCTGTGGGTACTGGGTAGTCTCACATTTTTGGAAAGTTCTATGCCCAGGGTTTTACTTAGTTAGAAAATGGCACATATGCAAAGGTATGGATTTCATCAGGCCAAGAGTCCTTAGCAACACTACAATTCTCACTCTGAAACTTAAGGTCAAGAAAAGTTTTACAAATTACCTCTCTAGCTACAACTTCTAGTTCATATACTCTTTGTGAGATGAGAGGTAAGAAATTAATTGGGCTGTAACACATCTCAAAAGTATTAATCTCACACCATGGTAAGTTTTTTCTAAACAACATAGGATTATATGAACCCTGTCTTTAAAATATTAAGAGTAAAAAGCTGAGGACAGTAAGACCATTTTTACAAACCTTGTATCTATGACTTTACTTATATTCATAACAAAGGCAAAAGCTGAGATAAACATGGAATGTAGCTTTCTACAAACAACCTACCTGCATTGTTTTTATTATATTTATTTATATAGTTCAAGTCATCCAAAGCATCATTTATTCTGTCTTGGAAAAGATAAATGAAATGTCTGTGCCAATAGGCGTTTAAAAACAATGGCTCCATAAATATGGTCTGGAAAATATAGGCATAAATTCAATTAAAGATGATTTGTGAAAAGAAGACACACTATTAATAGTCTCTTAAACATTATTGACACCAGTGGCTTTACATGTTTATAATATAAAATAAAACCTCCTATTCTGACAAACAAAAGTCTAGTGTTTTTAAATAATCATTTGAAAATATCAATAATTGCATTTTCACAATTCCATAAATTATACTACAATCATTTACTAATCAAAGTTCCATTAAAAATTACTTTATAAACAAGAGCAATGTAAATGGCAAATACTCTCATTTTAATTTTTAAAAACTTACTTCCTGTAGATCATTCATGGCACTTTGCAACTTTCCCAGCTTTCTATAAATAGCCCCACGCCTACAGTATGCAAACACAGGGATTCTTTTCTCCTGGTTTATCTCTTCAGTCAGCGCTTCCACTTCGGATTCATAATACTTAATGAGCTCCAGTGGAAGGTCACACTTAATGTGGTCGCTGAGCTCCAGCTTCAGTGATTCGACTGCTTGTTTGGGCAGGTCTTGGGGGGCAGCTATAACTGGCGGAGGTGTTTTCTGTTGTTTATCTTTAGTGAATGTCTCAAGAGCCCATGTCCGAAGATCAGAATTTTCTGGTACGCCTCCCTTACTTTTAACAAACTTATCAAAATTTAAAAACATAGGCACGCTGGGACACCGTATCTGACGTTCATATAATGGAACTTTAAGCAAGTACTTCTTCTGTCCAGGAAGTATTCCATGAGATGTTGATCTGGTTTGTAAAAGAATAGTTTTTTTTTTAATTATCGAAATATAATTATCTTTGTGATTAATAATTCAACTCAATCATATTAAAAACCTATTTTTCTGTTACCAAAACTTATACGCTAACTTTATGCCACCCAAGTTCACCTTCAATCATTAGAACTATAACACAGTGTGGAGAATCTGTAAAGCAAATGAAAATGAGTTTTTAAACAGGCAGCCTCACTAGACTAGTGAAGCAATAAGAAGGTGGTCCTTTCAGGTTTAATTGACAACCTCCACCTCATTCTCCTCCACAGGAATTACAATGGAGAGCTTAGAGATGAGCACGGAGGGATGAGGAAAGTGCCTCTTCCAATGGCTGTGCAGATCAGAACTTGAAGCTTCCTTCTTTGGGAGACTGTGAAACTCGATAACACTTAAGATGCTTTCCGAGGCTGCAGTTCTAGGTTGCTCTCCGTCAGATTCTCCTTTGGCAGCACAGCCTTCATTCAACGATATTTACTGTCGTGTACTAGCCTTGGGAGATTCTGAAGACCTGCACCTCTGTGTGCACTGACATGACAAAGGCGCTAGGGAACGAATACAAACTGAAATAGGAGAAGCACACGTGAGCAGATTTGGAGAAGAATGATTTCTTTTTTAAAAATACCAAATTCCAGTTATCTTCCCTTCACAGAAGAAATCGGCTGGAAGGTCACATCCCTCATCTGAGAGTCCCAATCCCCTCCTATTTAGCTTTCCCTTCACAGAAGAAATCGGCTGGAAGGTCACATCCCTCATCTGAGAGTCCCAATCCCCTCCTATTTAGCTTTCACTGACTGCATCATCACATCACTTCATACCTACCCTGCGTTACACATGATGTACAGTCCCCAGAGCTGTTCAGCTGTGACTCCTGAATACTCTTGCAGAGTAAAAACCACCACAGCCCCTCAGCCTTCCAAATCCCTGTGTCATAGGTGGCCTTACATCTGTTGCTACTGGCCCTAGCTAGTACATTCTTGGCTACAAGACCCTGGCAATGCTAAACGAATGATCTCAAAAGTTAGTATGCATCAGAGTCACCAAGAAGGCTTCTTAAACTCCAGATTTCTGGTCCTCACCAGTCTCTAATTCAGGATACATAGGGTGGAGTCCTAGAGTTCGCACAGGTATCAAGTTCCTGGGTAAAACACATGGATTCAAGGACTATACTCTGAGAACCACTGCCATAGAAGATTGAGTTTTAATCCTCGGGGAACTGGAATTGTCTGCAAAATAACACATTCTTAGTCAAGCTTTAACTCCTGCGGGGGAGGGGGCAGGAAATGTGTAAGTGAGGGCGCAATACCCTTGAAACACACTGTAGATGCTGACCTCAGAGCCAGAAACAAATAATGGGGGAGATTAATCTATTGAGTGGTCCCATGGAACTAATGAGGCTACTGAATGGCAAATCCCAGCAAAGACTGCCTCACCTTTGCAGATACTAGGGATACAACTGTGACAATAAACCACAGGAACAGAAAGTTTAACTGAATGGCTACAGTTGCTCCGTCATAAGACAGATGGGCAGCCTGCTAAGGTGTTATTTGTCTTAGATAAGCGAGAGACTTCTGGGCCTTCTGGGCATAACTAGCTATACACTTGAGATTCACATCCCCTAAGATTCATAAGCACGAGGAAATAGGCCTCCCAGAGGTCAGTGGATGCTTGCTCAAAATTTATCAGGGGATTAAACTAGGGAATTACAACAGCCAAGTAGTAGAGAAAGACTATTACCCTGAGACCATCTAACAGTGGTTCCAGGCAGACAAGGACCCATCCTATGGTCATTTTCTCATCCCTGAATGTATATCAATGGTAAGTAGCTTCAAAAAGAAAAATGTAGACAGGGAGAAGTGTTATAAGGACCAAGCAGAAACCCCACACCACTATCCTGCAAGATAGTACACAAAAAGAAATACCGGATTGCTGAAGAAATTACACATTCAGATTAATGCCATCATCAGAAACCTCAAGACAAGTGCAGGTAACAATTCTGCATCTCCATTTCCTGTTTGGTCAATGTTAAAAACAAATATCTGGTAGAAAACTACTGCTAACTTCTTTAAAATTTAATCAGGTGTCGGTTTCAATCACAACACTAGGTCCAGATGCGGCATATGTATTTACTGAAGCAATGCACACACCTTCTGGCATCTGACCTGCAGCTGTTGGTTTAGCACACTTTCTTTTCCATTACTGTGACATGGCACATCAAGGGAAGTTTCCATTTACATGGCAGGAGCAGTAGTTCCTACCTTTACTATCCTGCCAGCATGTGACCTATCCCACAGCATCACTGTAATCTGAGGAGCTGGGTGAAACGCAGCCTATTGGACCTCAGCCTGACTCTTGTCACAGCCATCTACTACTTGAGTAGCCTCAGGCATCTTAGCAAACTTCCATATTTTCAGTTGGTCCAATAAAAACCCTTGGAATCATCCTTAGTTAATTTCCTCCTCAAATAGCCCATGAGCAAATAATGTTGACTGTACTCCCAAATCTGAAATCCAAAAACTGAATCTGGCCAGTTTTTACCACCTTGGCTGCTCTCACCCTGACCAAGCAGCCATTTCTCACATGGATCATTCCAGTAGACTTCTCATGGATCTCTGTCTTCCACGACAATGTATTATCCCTGCCACAGCCACTCCCAATGTTTCCTTTTACATTTGAAGATCCAGAATATTTATCATTTCCTATCAACTTTGCTGCCCGCTTCTCAAGTTTACGATGACTTAGTGGCACTCTTTTTTTCCTCTTTAAATTTGTATGTGTGTGTATGCATGTGTCCGCACATATATGCGTGGGTGTACATACCCCCATGCAGAGGTCAGAAAGGGATGTCTGGTGTCTTCCACTGTCCTCTACCTTGTTCCCTTGAGACATGACATCTCACTGAGCTTTGAAGATCACTGTTACAATTAGGCTGGCCAGTCAAGTGAGCTTGTGGAGTCAGCCTGTCTCTGCCTCTCCCCACCCCCAATGTTGGGGTTACATATACAGGGAGCCATGCCCAGCTTTTTATGTGGGTGCTGGGGATTTGAACTCAGGTCCACGTGCTTGCACAGCATGCATTTTTACTCACAGAGCTATCTCCCCAGCCTTCACTTTATTGGCATGCTCATGAGTAAGTTCAACTCGTTATTACTTGCCCTAGCCTACAGGGCACTTCATGGTATTATCCCTAGCCACTCTCTGTGCTCCTCCCACTGGTATTTAGGCTGTTCAAACATAGCAAACACATCCTCCAGCTCAGCGCTTTGGCTCTTGCAGTTACTTTTTCTTCAGAGATGTAAACACTTCCTTCCTCCATACCATCCAGCTCTGTCATAGAAGCTTCTGAACTCTGTCTAAAATAGTAACTCCCACAACATTGCCTTATTTTTCTTCATAACACGTATTACTTCTTTAACATCACTTTTTAATTTCCCTACTCTCACTTTCCCACTAGAAGAGAAATTCTATGTGGACAGGGGGTTGGCCGGTTTTACTCACTGCCCTGTGTTTCCTATCTAGAATAGCATCGAGTGTGTATCAGGTTCTCAATACATTCACCCTGAAGAAATGAAGCTGTACTAGGCAAGGATTTACAGTTTACTCATGGCCTGCTCACTTCTTACTTCATGGTGGTGCTTTCCAGCTTCAAAGCAGAGGTGACTCTCAAATTTCAAGAACGATTTATGAAATAAATACTTGGAATTGAAATACAGGTATATTTCACTTAAAGTTCTATGAACTGGAGACAGAGTTATGTTTTAGTTGGTATAGCCTCTTTGGTCTACTCTGTAAGACACTCATAGTGAACGGAAATATATTTCGAGAATCCCTGTTTTCCACACCATTGCCCAGACTTTTTAAATGACTTTTTACAAAGAAAAGTAAAAACAATGCCATTTTCAGCCATAAATTAGTCCAGTAGAAAAATCATGAACAATGTAGAAGGCATAAGTAAAACTCTGATAGCCTCTGCTTAATCTATTCCTACCAACTCCGTATACCGCTGACATAATCAGTGCAATAGCTTGATGGACACGATTGCATGTTTTCTATGCAATATGTAAACACACACATATAAATACACACATATACATACAGATGAGTGCATTCCCACAGATTTGTTTGAATCTTTCCACACACACATTCAAAACTATGTTGATTATAACAAGATAGGATTGCAATACTTCCTAAAAGTTTTACACTGACCATGTGATATCTTGCTATCAGATAAAATAATTATAATGTCTTAAAGAAAATGGAGAACTAGAACCTGCTAGACAGCTTTCTAGAAGAATGCAAAAATGCAGATTATGAGTGGAATTTTTCAGGGAAAAGCTATAGTCTTTGATCATTGAAATAAAATATCCCAAATTAAACGGAAAAAAAAAACCATAGTCAGAAAAAGGGAATCTGTTTCTTCATCTGCAAGTCTAGATCAATATTTTCACAGTCAGGAACATGGGGTACAGCACCCAAAGTAATTAGCCTGCTAGTTCACCTGCCATTTGGGGAAGCCAGGCCCTCAAGGTGGAATAGGTGTACACATAACTAGTTTGAGATGACGTGTGACATTACTTAAGGAAACAGAAAAGTTTTGAAGAGCTCACATGTGGTGCTCAACATACTACATTTGTATAATAATAAAGTCGGTTTCACGAGCTGATCCGTGGGATTTTAAGCGATTACGTGGCTACACTCAACTTCAGATGGGGAAATAGCCAACAAAATAAAGTGGTTTGGCCTGGTCACCAGGGCACGGCAGCTGGAAAACAGATGCAAAGACAGCTGATCCATCGTTGTTCTGGAACTAAACTGCCTCAGGCTCTGAGGAGTAGAATAGGGAAGGGGATGTTTCAGATGAATGCTCCTGCCAGAAGAGCTGATGGACGACAGTCAGAGACAAAAGGCCCTGCCGAAATGACACCACCTCCTGCAGAAGGTCCCCTCTAGTCCCTTGCTGGCCAATCTCACAACTTTGGGCTCAGAGACCAAAGCTGAGGACAAAATCTAGAGAAACAGTGAAGCTGTGGCTGTCGTGTGTGGCATGCTGCCATGACCTAGCCGAGGAGGAGAGCGATGGGGGCAGCATTTCAAGGGAAAAGCATGAGTCTGGGACTTAAATCAGCACAAATAACCTTCCATAGGCACTATCTTCTGCAGTCAGTCAACATCTGAGTTGCTATGTGAGAACATATGTGGTCCACTTCAGATCATTAAGGAAGCCAGTCGGGAATGGCTGTTACCCAACAAGAGTAAAGGTTGACTAAAAATGGTAGGAAGGCTATTTCTGAGTCACCGACATGAATGAAAAATGCCTTAAACTACAAGAATAAAATTATCTTAACTAAATGCATAACTTGTTTTGAGCCAACAGTTATTTCCTATCCACATTTATGTGGCAAATTAGTCTAAGATGTTAAAAGAACTAAAAAGCCAGGCTCCTGTATTGTCCTGGGAAGAAACAAGCACAGCTTGCTTTGTTGACAATGACTCATCCTCACCTTCCTACTGTGACTGTTGAAGCATATGCAAACTTTAAATTAGGTTATTAAAAGACATAAATAAATTTCTTTAAATGGTGAAACTTTATACTCAAAGTGACTGAAGGTCTGTAAGGAGAACAAAACCTCCCAGAAAGTGTTTAACCTGCTATTACACCCTTTATTTAACAGAAGTCACTTTCGCAGCAGCCAAAACGGTGCTGTCTTGCCCTTTACTGGGATGATGACGGCTCATACTTTGAAATCAAGGAATGTATCAGAAACACATAAGCAAACTTCTCATTCTGCCTTAAAGAATTTTCCAAATCAGAGAGATCGATCTGAAACCTCCTGAAGACAAGCCAAGGGGAAAGCTTCCTGGTCTTTATTCAGAACAGCGGGAACCAGCATAAAGGAGAGCTCTGCATTGGATACCTTCCCCACTCCAGCTGGCCCTATCACACACTGTCACTCACACTGCTTTAAGCCACAGACTTCTGAAATAGTAAGTTAACAACCACACCAAAAGATAAGATGCCCTGTGCAGAGCCAGCATGTCTTCATGTCCTCTTTTTTTAAAAAAAAAAAAAAAAAAAAAAAAAAAAAAAAAAAAAAAAAAAAAAATGAAGGAAGCCTGCTTTATGCCCTCATCACCAGGAAAGTCCTTTTCAAAAGGGCACAAGTTTAATAGACTCTGTCATCTGGGGATATCTAAAAAGTAATCAATTCCAGGCCTTTCTGGAGACTTTTGCATGATGCTTATGAGATACTTGTGTACTAAACATGTACGCATCATCATACCAGGAGTCGCAGCTCTTACTAGTTCAGGTCCCACAGCATTTCAAAAATGTGCTAGTTATTATCACCTCCAAGTGAGGTGAAAATGTATTTTTGTGTGTTGTTCCTTGAAGGAAGGTTCACAACACACAAAAGGTTTCAGTTTATTCACACTCAGCACGCAGTTCAATAAAGACTTAAAGTTAAAAAGTTAAATAACAGCAATCTACTTTGAGTTTGGAATGAACTGGGAACTTGTTTGGAGCAGGGATAGTTCTATGCACCAAGTCACTTTTAACAAATAAGTTGCTGAATATTTGCTTTCCACTGAGAGATTTTTCAGTTATAAAATTGATTTAGTGTAAATTAATTTAAACAAGTCATATATTTATATCATGATATCATATAGATACCATGACATCTATACCTTTTAAAAATTAAAGATTTACCCCTTAGTTAGCATATTTTCAATAGGGAATAAAATAATAAATAGGGGGCTGGAGGGATAACTCAGTGGTTAAGAGCAGTGACTGCTCTTGAGGAGGACCCAGGTTCGATTCCCAGCACCCACATGGCACTTACAAGCCGTCCTTAACTCCAGTTCCAGGGGCATTGCACACAGAGGTGCACTCACATATATGCAGGCAATAATACACTCATACACATGAAATAAAAATAGTAAATAAAATATTTTTTAAATAATAAATAATAATGAAATTATAAAATTAACTCCCCATACTATACTGTAAAATACTTCTTAAAACTATAAAAATATATTGCTCAAATAAAACCTTTCCATTTTGTTTGGAGGTTTGGACAGCTGTTCATATACATATGCAAGTTTGGGGAATTTCAATCCTTTCTTCCATTTCTTCTTCATTTTCCTGGGATAAATGATGTAGCTGATGCCAGCCTTTCTTGATGCTTCGATGAGAGACAGAGACAGGTACTTCAAGCTGTGTGACTCCTGCAGGCTTTCAGAGCTCCCTTCCATGGGGGGACCTGTTATTCCCCTCTGCCTGGCCAGCTGGCGCTCTAGCCCCCTTGCTTTCTGGAACAGCAACTGCTTCATGTTATTTTTTGTGTCATCTTTAATTACGAATGCTGGCACGGTCTCCTTCTTCCTCAACTCACCTACAGACTGTGATCTCTTCGTAAGGAAAAAGAGGTGAAAATAGGTAATCAATTTAGTTCCACATTCAAAATTAATACACTCACAACTGCTACTAATGTGGTTTGGCTTTTTTTTAAAATATTAAATCATATGCTTTTAAAATTTTTTCCTCAGTGTATACTAATTGTGTAAAATAACAGGTTTTATGTGACATTCTCATACTCGAATACAATGTACTTTGTCCACCCTCACCCCCCCTTTCTCTTACCACCCCCCCCCCGGCAATATCCGTCTTCTTCTCTCGGTCTCCCTTCTATTTTCATGTCACCTTCTGGATTTCACAATAGGAGATGTGGCATCTGTCTCTCTGCATCTGGCTTATTGCACACCACATGGTGATCTCTAGCTCCATCTAGACTTTTCTGTCTACACCCTGCTGACAGCTCCCTTTCTGTGCAGAAGCTTTCCAATTTCCTGCAATCTCACTTGCCAGTATCTGCTATTACTGGAGCCCTATTCAGAAAGTTTTTACTCATGCTTATGACTTGAGTTTTCCTTCAGTAATTTCAGTTTCAGGTCTTATATTAAGATTTCTGATCCATTCTCAATTGATTACTGTACAGAGTGAGATACAGGGACCTAGTTCTACACTTCTACATATGGACATCCAACTTCCCCAGAACCACGTATCAAAGAGGTTGTTTTCCTAACATACGTTTTTGGCATCTCTGTTGGTGTGTGCTGACTGCAGTCTTAGGAATTCACGATTCTGTTGCACTGTCCGCATGCGTGCTTTGGTGCTTCACCATGTTTTCATCATTATGGCCATGCAGTATCTTTTAAATGCAGTGCTGCAGTACCTCTAGCGTTGCTGTTTTCATTCAGGTTGATTTGGCTAGTCAAGGTTTTCTCCTTTACAGACAAATTTTATTGTGGTTTTATTTTTTCATTTATGTGAAGAATGTCATTGAAATTTTGATGGGCATCACACTGAATTGATAGATCGCTTTCGGTAACATGGCCAGATTCACAATATTAATTCTGCCAGTCCATCAACAGGGCTAGTCCTTCTGGTGTCTTCATGTGTTCAATGTTTCCTATCTTTCATTGTAGAGGTCTTCCTCTTCCTTTGTTAGATTTATTCCTACAATTTTTTTCTCTTATTTATTTTGTATTGTCTTGTTTTCTTTTGTAGCTATCGTGAATGGGATTGTTTTCTTGATTTCTTTCTTAGCATGTTCAGTATTGATAGATATAAACAGCTACTGATTTTTGTGTTGATTTTGTATCCTACTGTCTTGTGCTCATCAGATCTAACAGTTTCCTGGTGGAGTCTTTAAAGTCTTTTAAGTGCAGGATCATATTGTCTGTAAATAGGATATTTAATATCTTTCCCACTTGTAGCATTTTTATTTCTTTTTCCTGCCTTATTGCTTTGGCTAAACCAAAGCGACACAATACACAGAGTTTCACCTATAACTCATTCTTGATTTTAGAGAAAATGCTCTCAGGTTTTTACCAGTATATCTATAACTTTGTCATCTATAGCATAATTGTGTTGAGGTTTGTTCCTTCAATTTACAGGCTTTTGGGGGGGTATCATGAAGAGATGCTTTTTTTTCTACATCTATTGAAGTGAAAATGTGATTTCTATGCCTGCTTTTATGCATGTGTTACATTACATTATTGATTTGCATGTTGAACCACACCTTTACATTACTAGAATGAAACCAACTTGATCATAATCTTTTTATCTTTTTACACTTTTGTCTTTTGTGAGAGCATGCCATGGCACATGTGTGACAATGAGAGAATAACCTTCAGGAACCCATCATGTGAGTTTCAGAGATGAAACTCAGGTTGTCAGGCTTACTGCCAAGCTTTGTTACCTGCTGAGCCATCTCGCCTTTTTAATGTGCTACTAAATCCAGTTTCCAAGGTAAATTTTATTGAGAATTGTTGTGTTTAAATTCACCAAAGACACTGGTTTATGGATTCTGTTGGTGGTTGATATGACTGTTGTATCTTTATCTGGTTTTGATATCAGATCAATTATAGTTTTACAGAATGGATTTAGTAGACTTCCTTCCCTTTCCATTTTATGGAATAATTTGAGGTTTTCCATTTTGAGTTCTGCTTTAAACGTTGGTAAAATTCTTAAGCATAATCAAAAGTCAGCTTAGAAATTTAATAGTGGGTTATTAAAAACAAAGCTCAATTATTTGATTTTCAAATAGACATTATAAATTACATTTTATGAGTTTACATATTCTATTATTTATTTTTATTTTATGTGTATGATAATTTGCCTGAATGTATGTTAAGTGTATTTGTGTCTTGCAAAGCCTGTGGAGGCCAGAAGGGGCATTGGATCTCCTGGAACTGGAGTTATGGACAGTTGTTAGCCACCATGTGGATGCTGAGAACTGAACCCAGGTCTTCTGCAAGAGTAGCCAGTGCCCTAAAACACTGAGCCATCTCTCCAATCCCTGACTTTATATATTTTTAATTGAAATTAAATGCTCTGTGTGTATCTAAATAAATTAGATGTTCTACTTCTACTTTTAACATAAAAAACTGATAGAATGGGTAAAAATTATTTAAATGCTTTATTCTATGAATCCAGTTTGTGAACCTATTTTTAAGAGCATTTTAACACTACATTTTGACACGACACTATCTCAAACAATATTGGTAAGTTAAAATAACAAAACCCCATTCTGTTATTTTTATTTGATCATTACAGAATCAATTTAATTTTATTTTTATTAATATTATAGCATCAATAATTATAAGCAACCTATAATTATAAATTAATAAATGTAATTCAATAGCATCATTAATAAAAAATTTCATTTTAAATCTTTTGATGCATTGTTTCCTACCTAGTAAGCTGCTCTCAACAAACTAACTGCATTTCATTTTGTTAATATATAATTTGTTATAAAGACTTTTTTTTATGTTGTACAAGTTTCTGTAGGGGAGGCACACATGTGTGGGTGTGTATGCATATGCGTGCATATGCATGTGGAGGTCAGAGGGTGACCTCAGGTGCTATTCCTCAGACATAATCTACCCCTTTTTTCAGGGTCTGTCATAGGTCTGAAACTTGCCAAGCAGGCTAGGCTGGCCAGCAGTCCCAGGAGTCTGCCTGTCTCTGTCTCTCCAGTACTAGGATTACAAGTGTAAGGCAGGACAGCCAGTATTTTTTACATAAATTCTGAGTATCAAATTCGATTCTTGGTTCTGAGCTATCTCACCACCCCAAGATTTTTTATAATAAATTATAGTGAATTTAGACCTAAGATCTACAAGTAAGAATTCATATAAGCAAGTTATGTATTTAAAATGTGCTAATATGCAATAAATAGTATATTGAAACTCCATGATTTAATACAGTTTCCATCTCATAAAAGTTTAACTCAAAATGTGATAATAAGGAACAACATACATACATACTTTTAAATAAGAATAAGTTGATTATGACAGGTAGAAATACAAACATATTTGAATAGTAAAAGCCAAAAAGGTTGTGATACCTTTAATCGCTTATATGGTATACTGGATTGTTTGGAGATATTTTGAAATGATGCAGATTTTCTTATTATTAAAGACTGTAAAATAATCAGACAAATATACATTATCCATAGTCACTCTTTAGAAAACTAACCACATAACAATTGAATAATAATTGTTCTTATAATGAAATGCACAAATACGAATTACAATATAGTTTCTTGCTGATTTTGAAGTCACTAGCTTCATAGAGAAGAACAGGACCTAAAATTTATCACTTCAGGTGCTGGAGAGATGGCTCAGCAGTTAAGAGCACTGACTGCTCTTGCAGAGGACTGGGTTAGAATCCCAGCACCTACATGGTAGCTACAAAACCGTCCTTAACTCCGGTTCCAGGGAAATCCCTTCTGACCTCCGCGGCATTGCATGACATGGGTATACTCACATACACACAGGCAATGCACTCATTACATAAAATAAAATAATAAAATATTTTTTAATTTATCACTTCAGTTAGTGAAGTTTATAGTAACTGTTAGTTTTAAATTTCAAGTTGAGACAGCAAATGCCAAGATAGCAAACACTTCTATGTGGTCCTCTGCTACAAAGCTTCCCCACTGTGTAAGTGGCACAGGGATGTGTAGATGTGCCATAGATGAGGCTACATTAGTGGGAACTGGGACAGCTACCTCCCTTTTAATCATGAACAACCTCAACCTTTTACTTCAGAGGAAGGGGCCAATTAAACATCACCATAATGTCATCAAGGCTAGTGACATTACAATTAGAGTAAGAATGCACTATCACACTAGCATATAGAGGAAATGTGTTTGATTCCCCTAGACAAATAAAAAACAACTGCAATCAATGACTGTTAAGAGGGTTCAGCTGAGGTACAAAGAGAATGCAGGACAAGGAGAGATCAGTTCTGAACAGGTAAGAACCTGATCCATCAGTTTAAAGGAGGCAGCATTATAGCTGTTGTGTGAAAGCAATAGCATTTCCACAGCCTAAGAAGGACTTGAAACTACCCCCAGTCATGAGAACAGGCTCCCACAAACACAGAGAAATGTCACAGTGCCAGAAATTTTAGTCCTCAAGGACACTAGTGTAGGCAGGCTATATAGTGTAGGTGGGCGGCTGGATGGAAACAGAAGCATATGGGACATATATAGTTGAGGCTGAGCACCGTGGCTTCATTTTGTATGGTAGGTGGAGCTGCTCGGTGTGTTCAGACATCAGTGATGTAGTCATACCTGTGCAACTGCAGCAGGACGGTTGGGAGAAGCAGTTACTAAAGATGAGGTCATATGATGGGTAGGAGTGGTGCTGCCAGCACAAACTAGAAAATTCTAGAAAAGTGTAATTGTGTGATTTGGGTTTTTTTATAATTCATTTATTATTTTTATTTTATGTCTATGAGTGTATTGCCTGCATGGAGGTAAGTGCACCCATGTCATGCTATGCCCACGGAGGTCAGAAGAGGCTGTCAGATCCCCTGGAACTGGAGTTATGGACAGTTGTTAGCTGCCATGTGGGTGCTGGGATTCGAACCTGGGTCTTCTGCAAGAACAGTCAGTGTTCTTAACCACTGAGCCATCTCTCCAGCCCCAATTTGGTTATTTTTAAGTGGCAATTACTGTTCCACACACTATAGATAAAATGGGGAATATGAGTAGTTTCTTCCCAGGCTAGTGAAGAATAAAAAAATCAAACACACATCAGGATAAATATCTGATAAATGGTATAAATAGGAGAGGAGAACACTGACTCAGAATCACTACTGCCCCTCCAAAGACATATTCCCGAGGTGTATGGGGAGAAGGAAGAACACAGAGACAGTCAGCCTAGATGGCTGACTAGAAACGGTATGGCGTCTCAGGACACTGAGTTGCTACTAATTGTGGTTCAGCACCCCAAGATGTCAAAGTGGAGCCACGAGATGAAGGCCGCAATGAAAAGGAAAACCATTCCTGGTTATCTTCCTCAAATTTCAGGGCATCAATAGGCCAATCATATGAATCTCATACTTTCTGCAATCCTGTTTATGGATGATACTCTGCAATCACACTGAGATCGTGAGTGTGCATCCAGTTACCATCCACAGCCATCACTCTGCTTTGTGTTCATAAACAGCTTCCCCTTCGATGCAAAAGGCCCTACACTTTAGCATTTAAGTGAATCCTAGGCAAAAATTATTGAAAACTTTGAATTTTAGGAAAACATACAAATATCTTGCCATTTACTAAGGAACATCTTCTGAGTGTTGTAAGGACAGCACGAAGAGGAATTGTGTCCACAAAGACACCATTGGGTTGTCTGAGCCATCCCCTGAGAGTAAGAAAACACCGAGATAATTTCTAGAATAACTAGAAATAATTTATGAGCTAAAGTCAGACATAGCAATCAACTTACAATTCAGAATAAAAGTCATACCATACCTTAAAACTTCTATAAGTGTCCAAAATAACCACACTTTCTTTGCTTTCAGATAAAAATTTCTCACTTAAAATTCTGCTTGTCTGCACACACTGTGACAAAAAAGATGAAAGTATTAAGTAATGTTATAAAATGTTTTCAGTACAGAAGATGACTGTTATTTCATTGAACATTATTACCAAAGAAAAAGAAGACCCACAGTAGAGGAAGAATTCTAGAAAACACTTCCAACCATGCAACAAAATCCACCTACAGACTTGGTATTTATCCAAAAACCCACTATATTGCTTCAGTGTTGGCCTTTACCCAAATGGATACTTCTAGATTATTTTTACAATTTTTAATCTTAGGAGTGTCAATGATACTATGTTATAGAATAGTACTGGATGTGTTTAGCATATCAGCACCAGAATTATGAACATGATACATCATCAAGACTTACCATCCATGAGTGATTTTGTTTTCAAGCTTGTATTCTAAATATAAGTTGGAGTGAAATTTTTCTTAAATGCTTTAAGCTTTGTTATTTTGTCAGCCAACTAAGTTACAACAAATATATGTTCATTATAAGAGTAAACAGCTGTAAGAGTCATGCTTGGTAAATGTGCTGCTTCTCTTACAGTCAGTGGTTTGGGTAAGTAGAAATAGCTAGCTACTGGACTTAAATTTGACAGGCTGATGGCACCATGATTAGCTACATCATGCTTGCTCTTTGTTTGTTTGGTGAAGAGTTAACTTTTCAACTGAAATTTAAAAATCGTTTTTTAAAAGTAATATGTAGTTACTGAAAATGGAGAAGGGGCTGGAGAGATGACTCAGAGGTTAAAAGCCCTGGCTGCTCTTGCAGAGGACGTGGTTCCCAGCACCTACATGGCAACTAACAACCATCCAGAACTCCAGTTCTAAGGAATCCAACACCCTCTTCTGGCCTACCTGGACATTGCACACATAATAAATGCACTTACATAAATGCAAGCAAAATACTTATACATATAAAATAAAATTAAATAGATAAGTAATTTTTTAATTTAAGAAAGAAAATGGAGAAAGCTAGGGGTAAATCAGGAATCAGCAGCACTGAATTTGTAAGGCAAAAGAATTACTAGTCACAGTAGAAAGATACTTGGAATGTTTATTATCCTTCAAAGACAAGCTACAAGATACAAAAAGAATTTGGGAACTATTTTGCCTTACATTTATATAAGATACTCCAGTACACTGGACAACAAGGTGTTACATATTTTAAAGGCTGTTTTTAGAAAGATGCTTGGAATATTTACTACCCTTCAAAGACAAGCTACAAGATACAAAAAGAATTTGGGAACTATTTTGCCTTACATTTATATAAGATACTCCAGTACGCTGGACAACAATGTGTTACATATTTTAAAGACTTTTTTTTAACAAAACTAAGACAAAAACCTTCACAACATATTTTATGATCTCAAAACAGTAGAACTTGTTAACAATCAACATCTGTTTGCTGTAAAAAGAAAATATACTGGAGCTTCACAACCCGCCAAAATATTGCCCAGACTAATGTGCCCACAGAAAGCAATTACAGTACTGCTGTGATGCTACATGCAAAAAATTGCCCAGCTTTTCTCCAGAAATGTTGCTGAAGTTGATACGTATGCAACATAAGCAGGGGTGCAGGCGGAAATGGAAAGACACTGTTCATGTTTACATATGAAGCACACACCCAGCTCCTGGAACACTCTGTCTCCAGCTGCTGGCACTATTTTGGGAAGCTCTGGAAACTTTAGGAGGTAAAGCCTAGTGGGATGAAGTAGGTCACTCTCAGGAGGGGGAGGAACAGGGTGCTGTTGAAGGTTATATACCAATCCAGTCCTCCCCCATCACACCCTCCCATGACTATAGTGCCCTGCCCAAATGTGTGGGATCAATCATGAACACAGCCATCTGATACCTTAAGAAAAACGGCCCCGCCCACCTCACCCTTACATTGTTTCTGTCAAGTATTTGGTCAAAGAGACAAGAAAAAATATCACAATCTTTGGTACCTGAAAAATCAGTTATGACTCTGCTTCTTGTGATGGCAGAGCAGACAGTTCTGCTGAAGGCAGCAGAGGGAGTTACATGTAATATGAAATATATTATTGAGGAGCCAAGAGACTGATGAAGCAATGGGTCAAAATCTAAGAAGACACAATAACCTGCAAAGGAGACCTTGGAACCCAGATCTTTTCTTCTTAGGATATGGACAGAACAGTTGCAAATCTGAGCTGCAGATTTAGCAGCTTCTCAGGGTGTGGGAAACAGAAATAAAAGCTTAGAATCAACCTGAGGTGGGAGCCTGGTGACATCTCTGCTACATAGAAACTGAGCCACGAGGGTATCCCTGAAGATGTAGAGTAAATGGAAGGGAGTCTATGTGGAGGGAGACTTTCTTCATAGGCTCTGCCACAGGGATGGACAGAGAAATCAAGTGCCGGCCTTGATAATGCAGCTCTGAGTGGAACAGAACTCAAATTTTAATGACAAAAGCTTTAGAAAAAGAAACTGCAATTCTGTCTCAAATATTTACTCAAAATAATGTTTAAATACAATAATAAAGAAGCATATATTCAAGTCTCATCAATGAAGCTCCCTCATACAACAGAGGGCCAGATACACAAAAGGCCAAAACTCAGAGAATAAAAGTCTGCAGAGTGTGAGTCCTTGACAGGACTCTTATATTGAGGTCCACCAACCCAGGGCTCAGAGACCATGGCAGAAGAGGGGGTTGAAAGTTTTTAAGAGCCAGGGAGGAGGTACATGACCATAAGAAAATGGTACTATAGACACCTGGGACCCTTCTCATACAAACCTACAGCAATGGTGTCAGCATGCACAGGACCCATGCAAACACAGGCAGACAAAAACCCAACACAGAACTATGGAAATGAACAGCAAGCCCCAACCATAACTGAAGAACTATTGCCAGCTGATTACTGCTTGGTGAGGAAGAGCTGATCTTCTTGAAAGGAGGGACTCTAGACAGGCTAACTAAATCCCTGTGGATAAATTTGCACTGAGGGACATCTCAGGACACTAACTTTACATAATACGTCTTAACACAAATGACAGAATGTATGAACTCCAGTGGGGGTGGGGGACTACGGGAGGTGCCAAAAGGGAGGGGAGAAGCAGTATAAAGTGATTTTATGTATAAAATACACAAGAATTCAGTAAAAATACAAATAAAAGCATATAAAGATTCACAGAAACACAAAGAAACAACACACACAAGAACTTAACAGATTAACAAGAAAAAAGAAATAGAAATTTTGATATCCATCAAAAGATAGATGGATAATGAAAATGCGGTACACACACAGAAGGGAATTTTATCCCATTTTAAGGAAAAATGAAATCATGGAATAAGCAGGAAAATGAATGGAGCTGGAAAGTATTATATTGAGGCGCGTCAAATTCAAAAAGACAACTGCATGTTCTCTCTCATATGGAGATCCTAGTTTTCAATGCATAGATGTATGTATATAAATGAGTGTCAACATGGGTAGAAGCCTGAAAAACTAAAAACAAGACCAAGAGAAGTAAAAAAGAGGCGCTCAGGTAGTGGGGAGGGTGGCAAAGGGACCTGGGGGAAGGGGGAAGACAAGGGGTAACAGGAAGGGAGGGAGGGGTCAACTATAACACACTGTGTTTGAAAATACCATCATGATAACTAATATTTTGTATGCCAGTTTTAAAAAATAAAATTAAAAAGAACAATTACAAATCCTTTAAAAATGCCAGGCCAGCACTCGGGAGGCAGAGACAGGCAGATCTCTTTGAGTTCCAGGCCAGCCTGGTCTCCATTAATGAATCCAAGCCAGCTGTGGCTACAGGGAGACCTTGCCTCAAAAAGAGGGGGAAAAAAAGTGCCTGGTGTGGTAGCACACACCTTTAATCCCAGCACTCTGGAAGTAGAGGCAGGTGGATCTTTGTGAGCTCAAGGCTAGCCTGGTCTACATAGTGAGTTCCAGGCCAGCTGGAGCTACAGGGAGACCCTGTCTCAAAAAGACCAAAACAAAACAAAAACAAAAAAAGAAAAAAGAAAAATACAAAACCAGGTTTTAAAAAGCAATACATTTTAAACACAGAATTTATAAACCTGGGCACTAAGATATAACAAAAGAAATTTTCTAGAATCCGGGGCCAAAAAAAAGTAGCTAATGAACAAGGTTGAAATTTTGGAGAATGAATGAGAGAAAAAGAGGCAACATTTGAAGAAGTAATAAGAAAATGTTCTGAAGCTGATGAGCCACATCAAGTTACGAATTCAAAGATCTAAATGATTCTAAAATACAATAAATATAAAGAATTCTACACCTAGACAAAAGGTGAAACTGTAGAAGAGAACGCCCTGGCTTAAGGGATGCAGAAAATGCAGCATCTTCAGGGAATCCATGCTTAAGACTCACTTCTCAACAGCAGCAGTGGACACCAGGAAAAGAAAGAAGCGCCCTAAAGAAAATATCTGCAATCAATATTTTACTTGTATGAAAAGCTTTTGAGAATATAACACACACATTTGAAACAAAAGAGAATCAAGAGGCAACATGATGGTTCAGTAGGCAAAGGCACCTGCTGCCAAGCCCGACGCCCTGGCGCCATACAGAGGGTGATAAACAATTGCTACACGTGCTCTTCTGACCCCTGAACGCACGCCACAGCATGTACAAGCTCGTCACTGCACACACACACACACACACACACACACACACACGCACACACACACACACACACACACAGTAAATACACGTGAAAAGGAATTTTTAAAAAGGACATGAAGTTGGGGGGGCAGAGAGATACGGATAGTTCTGAGAGGAGATGGGAGAGTAAATATAATCAAATACACTGTATAATATTCTCAAAGAATCAATAAAATATTATTTTCAATTACATTACAGAAAAAGAAAACCACGGTTTTGGAATCCTCTCAACTTCCCCTTATGTAGAATGTTAAAGAATATACTTTGGGCAAAGGACAAGAACATATTCAATATAGAAGGGTCTGGACACTAAGGAAAGGAGAAAGTGATAAATATGTAAACAAAATTGAGCTTTTAAGACTCCAAAATAG